TTTAAATTTTAATTGCTTTTTACATTTGATTTAATTAAGTTTTAAAAATTTCTGACAACAAAATTTTTTTCCTAACATTTCCTCGATTTCCTTGACATTTCTCTAACTTACCTGACTTGTGGCAAACGTAGGCTTTCTAAAAGTTTACAATTTTCATTGACCTATAACTACAATTATTTAATTTAGAAAAATTTCATTAAAAGAAAAGGAACTTTTAAATATTACGTACTTGAATTCGATTAATGCAAATTTTGATTATCGTTAATTTTGCCTGTACAACTGCACTTAAGATACTCAGTGCTAAATGATAGTCTCTAAAACGAAAAAAATCTCTAATTGAATTAATTTCCAAATCGACAGAAAGGGGAGTTACAAAGACATATTCAAATGTTTATTTGAGAGGGGAGGTCAAAAAAGTTTTTAAATATGTTTTTTAATACTTAAATGGTCCCAAAATAAGTTTAATTTTTCTGCAACTTTTAAATGTTAAAATGAATTTGTAATTTTTATTTTCAAAAATTTAATTTTTCCTAAACAAATTAAATTTGTTTAAAAAAAATTTTAATTTTGAGAAGTTTTTTTAAGAAAATTTTTTATTACTTACCTAGAAATAATAAACATAGAATGCAAGAAGTGTTAGAGAGCCTGATTAAAAAGCAATTTAAAGTTTTAAATTAAAAAATTAAATATAAGTTAAATTTTTATAAATCAATCTTATATTATTTTGAAATATGTCATAATTAAAAAAATTGTTAAAAAGACACTAAATTAAAAATAAATTTATTTTGAAAAATTATTTGTTTAATAAAAATTCATTAATTCGTTTTGTTAATTTGATTTTAATTTTTTATATGCAATAATTTGAAAGTTATATAGGCAAATAAATATGCAATAAATCTAAAGTTAACGAATTTGAAATCTATGCAACGTTAATCATCAACGATACAAAACAATTAATATTTTTTTATCAAGCAGAAAATAATAACACTTATTTTCTACAATATTTTCTTTTGATAATTGTCAAAAAAACGGCACAATTTTTCTTCAGTCACTTCTACACTGTAAAAAATATATATATAATATATATATATAATAATAAATCATGTACAGAAATTTTAGGTGAAGTCGTTCATATATATATAATTTGTTATACATTATTGTTTCCATGTAATACTCAGAAACAATATTCTATGCTATTTTAAAAACTTACTTAAATCTTGCATATCACATTCGGCTACAGAATTGTCTGTTTTATCTTTAATCTCGAACTGCATCATTTCTGAAATAAAAGTTTATCATTTTTTTTTTCATTTTATATCTTTCAATAAAGAGAATTTTAAAATGGACCTTGTTTATAAAAAAGATTTGTGTTTAAAAAATTATCATATTGAAGATAAAAATGCATAAATTTATTTTGCTAAAATTATTTTAATCATAAATAATAAAATAAAAGTTGTCGTTTAATAAATGACAAATATAGTAAACTGTAAGCAAAAAATTACTGAAAATTATAAAATATAAAACATAATTAAAACGCTGTAGTAATATTATAGGAAAATAAAATTTGAGGTTAGGATGACTTAAAAAATGTCTAAAAATCATATTATATACTATAATTTTTTTATTTACTCAAATAAATTAGGTTTAACATAACAATCGTTATCCATTTATATTATATAAGATATTTATATTATATAATCAACTTACCTGCATTTATTGCAGAATCTAATTTTGAGTATTTTCGTTTTAATGTCCGCGAATGCAATTTTTTGCGTTTTTCCGGGTCAGGTCCAACAAAATCCATCGTGCAAAAATTATTGTTGTTTTGTTTTTTTATCTATATTAACACAATTTAACCCGATCTCGAGTACGTCAACGTACGAATAAAAGGCATTTTAGGTTGTCACGTATTTCAATATGGCTGGCTGGAAGCCGGTGGAATTTTCATTCTTTCTTTTCCAGAAAGCGGGTCATAGTTGAATAGTCTTGACCTGATTGGTTGTCTACAATTAATCAGATTAGGGACAACCAGTTAGATTTGTGGATTTAGGAAAGGAGAAGAAAAATGAACTAACCTAACCCTGCCATCCTTGTCAGTTAGTATTCGCCAGATTTCAAAGCTTTGAAAATGTTTGAAAGAAATGAGAATAGAGCAGGTTAGAGCACGTTTCAATCAACGAAATTCCTGTGAAGGACTCTGCACATATTTAATATAATTATTTTTGAGACAAACTTTCTGTGATTGTAGTGTTTTTGTGAACAATATGAGTTTATTTCTTCACATAAAGTTTACGAGTAAGTGTAAAAACTTTTCCTCATTGACAGAAAATGTACCGGCTTCTGCTATTCCGCGTTACAAAAAAGATAATCCGAAAAATACGAAATACAAAGTTCAATGTGGCTGTTCAGAAAAGCAATGTATGGCATCAGTTATTTTCTCTGCAGGTAAGCATTATTGGTTTTATACATTAAAATATACGACAAATTTAGTATAATTCATTGATTGAATATATAAATTTTACTTTATAGGTTCTTTTCTCATTTTTCAAATTTATTATAACCTCTTGAAAATATCATTTTTTCATTTAAAGAATAAAATTCGTTAAGTATATTTAATTCGCTAATAAAATGCCATGACAATATATAGGTTATATTTGATCGCTGTATAAAAAAAATATTTAGTTTGGTCTCGGAATTTTATTTAGCCTGTTCGAATGAATTGTATATAGTTATTGCAAAATAGCAACTGTTGACTCAAAACCATATACAGAACACAAATCAAATTTTTAGATAAACTTTATGATAAATATTCCTAGACTGTGTATAATTACTATATTATTATGCTCATTTTATGTTTTCATTAAAACATTAAGAACAAATAAAAATAGTTTTTAAGTTTGAAATGCATATATATTTAAAACAAATGCCAATTAACTCTTAGCTATTTATATATAACTAGCAAAATTAAACGTGCGCAAGCGCGACAAATTGAGTATTTAATTGTTTGTTATAAAGAAATTAAAGATTAATATTATCAATAATAATTTAATTTATTAGAATATTATTACATATTAAATAATAATATTGAAAATTATATGTTTACAAGCCTCGGATTATATGACTTTTTTCGACTTTTTTCAAAAATACGACTTTTATCGACTTATTGTAATAAAATGCGACATTTTTTTTTACATTTGAAAAAAATGTAAATAAAATACATTTTTTTAGTATAAAATGTAGATCTTCTTCATATCTTCTTCAATTCAATTATTTAACAAATTTTGAACTAAATTGATTCTTCACTAAATTAATTATTTTTAATAATTTTAATGAAATACATCACAAATTCAATTATATCAAAATTAGTTTTCAATTAAAATTTTTATGAAATTTAACAATTGTTTATAATTTAAAAAAAAATATCACAAAAAAATTGAATTATTTTTTAAAAATTTCAATTCAAAATAAACTAAAATTCAATTATTACCCAAAATTTTAATTCAAAATCAATTAAAAATCCAATAATTATCCAAAATTTTCAATTTAAAATTTAATTATTTACCAAGTTTTCCATTCAAAATAAAATTCAATTATTTTCAAGATTTTCAATTCAAAATCAACTAAAATTGAGTTATTTTTAACATTTTAAATTCAAAATCAACTAAAATTCTATTATGTATTTTTCAAAACTTTAATTCAAAATCTTTTAAAATTCAATTATTTTCAAAAATTTCAATTTAAAAGCTTCAATTATTTTTAATGATTTTATAATATTCTTCGAAAATTCAATTATTTGAAAGCATTTTGCAATTAAAAAAAATTTTTAAGTTCAATTTTTGTCTGTAATTTCTAATAAATTCTTCAATTATTTGAAATTAATTTATTTTACAAAATTTCAATTATTTTCAAAATTTTCAATTCAAAATCTTTTAAAATTCAATTATTTTCCAAGCATTCAATTCAAAATCAACTAAAATTCAAGTATTTTTCAAAACTTTGATTGAAATTCAATTATTTTCGAAAATTTCAATTCAATATTAATTAAAATTCAATTATTAATCAAAATTTAAATTGAAATTTAATTATTTTACAAAATTTCATTTATTTTTAAAAATTTAAGTTCAATTCAGTGAAAAATACAATTTTCAAAAATTTTAATACGAATTTGTAAAAAATCGACAAAATTTCAATTCAAAATCAATTAAAATTCAATTATTCGTAAACATTTCAATTTAAAATTATTTATCAAAATTCACAAACCAAAATCAACTACATAAAATTAAATTATTATCCAAAATTTCAATTAAAATTCAATTATTTTCCAAAATATTAATTCAAAATCAACTAAAATTCAATTATTTTCAAAAATTTCAAATTAAAAGCTTCTAAAATTTAATTATTTTAAAAATTTTCCATCTAAAATTTGTTGAAATTTAATAATTTTTAATTATAACTCTTTCTGAAGAGAAAAAAAGAGATTTAATTTTCAAAAATGAGAAAAAGAATTGTCAAAATTTGACAAGTCATAAGATAACTAATCAAACTAATCATAACTATTCAAAAAAACACGTGAAATCAGAAAAGGCCAACTTCAAGTTAGGACAGAAGGACAGACCAAGCATTTTATTATTATATAATTTCGTTTGCTTTGATTATTATTATCAAACATATATACCCAAAAGTATGTATTAATGCATTTTAACTATGTCTATATTTTCTGTGAATTATTTAGGATCTAAAATTACTATAAATTATTAAAATTTCAATAATGATATTTTAGAAATTTTAATTTTTACAAGACTAAATTTTTTTTAATTTACACGCTTGATTGTTCAAAATTTTTTTTAAAAAGTATATAATATTATATGCGTACAGTGCTTTTATTGTTAAGTAAAAAATAAATATATGAAAAGTAGAATTTGTATATTTTTCAGTGTAAAAGAACAAAAATCTTAATGGGTATACTAACAATAATAACAATTCTCAAAGTTACAAAATGCAGCTCAAACTCGACTGGGTTTTCAGTGTACTAGCTGAGAGTTGCATTATTAATGTTACCATTTAGTTTGATGACCTAATAATTTTGTTAGTAAGATACCTAAGTATATATTATTTAAACTAACTAATAAAATAAACTGATAAAATTAGCATCGTAGTTTTTAAACTAAAAATGACCGTCTCAAAAAAGATGACGGTAATAAATCTTGTCTTTTAGTGTAAATATATTTCTGCATGATACTTTTTAATGTGGAATACAATTTAATTGTGGAATACAAGTATAAAAGAATTCTTTAAAAATGATCTAATGTGTCCCCTCTATTTGCCATTTTATTATATAATTTTTTTAAACATTATGTACTTTAATGTTGAAAATTAGAGTCTTTGGAAGAACTGAACAAGAAATTATCAGACACACGATGTAAATATATTCCTTCCAATCTTTTGGAAACTGCGTCTGAATATTCTGCTGATGAAAGTGTAGTTACAAAGCAAAAAAAATCTCAGGTAAATGTAAGTCTTGAAATAATTATAAAACTGATTTTATAATATTTTAAATTACATACATCTTTTCTTTAAGAGTTATACCACCCTGAACGCAAAAAATTTTTACGGTTTGAAAAAATGTTTTGAATTAACAGAGATATGTTGATAGTCACAAGCATGGTCGCACAAAAATTGCCAAAAATTATCTTGCTTTTCGCAACGGTGGGCCTGAGGTCTCAAAAAATTTTCAACCGATTGACTTATGAAAATTGAAACACAACTTCTTAAATAAATCCCCTATAGAGTGACATATGATTGCTTTACTCGTGAAATTTAAAAAAAGAGTTAAGAATTAATTTTTATCTATAATAGTTTCGTCAAAATAAGTTCCTTTCAAACCGGTCAATTTTCTTGCGTTCATGGTCATGTAACCTCTTAAAAGATAATTTTGATAAATTGTATTAATTTCGTAGAATAATGCCGACAAAGAAAAAAACAAAAATTATTGGAAAATAAGTTAAAAGCAATGGAAGAAAAAAAACACAAAGTAAGTATTAAGATGTTGATAAGATATTAAATGTATTGTATTGTAATAATCATGTTAAACAAGCAAAAATATACAGTTGTAATATAAAAAGGAGCCAATTCTTATACTTCAAAAGCCAATTGATCTATAAGATAAGGTACTCACAATAAAAGTTTTTATGCATTTTACATAGGAAAAACAAAAAAATTAATCATCAGCTGCCACGACTGAGTCATTTAAAGTAAAATATTATTTTACTATTTATTTACTTTAATGTAATAATAGATATTTTTTAAAAATTTGTCATAATTTTTATATTTAAAGACTAATAATTTAGATTTATTAAATAAATATATATTTTTTTATAATTTATTAATTATTGAAATTTAACAGGGCATTATCAGCAGTGAAAGTAAGAAGGAAAATAAAGGAAAAATAAAAAAGGAAATTTTTGACAAAAAAGCAGAAACTGCGGTAGATGTAGTTAAACTCTATCCAAAAGTCTTGCTTCATGTTCAAGACAAGGTAAAACTTTAAAACAATTAATACTATTTCCGAACTAAAATAATTATTTTTAAAAAGTGTTTTATCTTTTTACATTTGTTATTTTACGGAAGAAAGCTTTTTTTAATGGAGTTATTTTACAGTAAAACAAATCGATCTTCCAGTGAAACTTTTATTGTTTTTCTAAATGAAGTTTTTTCTGTATTGTTTTGCTTAATTTTATAAGTATAAAAATTTATAGGTTAATAATAATGACAAAGAAAGAAAAGAAATTAAGAACGCATCTGAAGAGAAAGAAAATTGCAAAACAAGTAAACCTGAAGAAACTGGTACAGCAGTTAAAGGGAAACCAAAAATCAAGGAGAATATTCAAATTAAGGTAATTATAGTGTATATTACATGGAGGGTTTAAAAATTTTAGGATTCCTTAAACAATTTTTTTTCAAACTTCTTTAATAAGAATAAAAAATATCAATTAAAAAATAAAAAATTTTAATTCCATTCGTTTCTTATAGAAGCCATTATCTGTAAACACTTATGGTAATGCAAACATCAAGTCAGTTGAATATTATTTTATTTAATTTAAACTTCTTGAAATACCTACAATTTTTTTTCAGTAATAAATTTGGGAAAAAATGTAAGAAATTCTCTTAATAAATGTTTTCTATTATATATGTATAAGATAAATATTAAAAAACTTATTTTAAAATTATTTATTAGTCGTATGGTAAAGTAAACACATACCCAGTTTAATTTTTTATTTATATCTCTTAAAGTATGAATAATTTGAATTCCATAGTCTTAGCATTTTTCATAGCACTCTTATCTTTTATATATTAAAACAGTTTTTATGTTTTTCTGTTCTTATTTTCATGTTAGTGTATTTTTTAGTAACAAATTTTTTTTTTTCCAAAAACTGGGATTCCCCCACTTTAGACTCGCTAGTACATATTACACAGACACTACTAAGATCAAAGTATATAAAATTCGAGGGACAATAGTAGTAGGGGAAAAGCTCGCTCGACAAACTGGGGAAACGGCTTTACTGAGAGAGGGTTTACTGGGATGGTTGACTGTATTTAATTTTTAATTTCATTCCTAAAGGCACCTGACGTTAAAAAGAATTCTGATTCTATCGACTCCTCTTCGTCAACATTCACGAAAAAAGGTTTAGAAGATGATTTAAATCCGGATTCTTATGAGGAGGAACAAGTTTTCAATGGCCAAGAATTTGGTGGAGAAAATTATAGAAATACCAACACTGACAATGCAGCATTTGATGATGAGGTATTTTGAATGTAAATTTATCATTGTATGTTACTCATTTTTCAAAATTTTTATTTTATTCTTCATAGGATGAGCTAGAAATCGATGATAAAGCAACGATACGTCAATTGAAACGTAGAATAATTGTTTTAGAAACGGAAAATCGCTCCTTACTGAAGGCAAATATAAAAATGCAGAAGAAAGTTGTTGACTGTTTCACACAAGTGCAAAGTAAGTTTTTTGTGGTTTCCTTTTAATGGACAATTTAAAAGTCGTCAAATCTTTGTCTGAATCTAAATGTATAGTCAATTACTACTCATGTAGTAATTTTCAAATGATTTAATTTAAAACTCGGAATTACAAATTTTTTTATAACAGAATATCTGTGTTTTATTTTAACAAATAAGATAATCTAAAAAATTTATACTTTAAATACATTATTTACAGCAACTGTTAACAATATTTCTAATTCAGCGCAAATAGAATTGGAAAGAAAGATTTACACTGGCGAAGAATTGTCCGTGGGGGAAATAAATGAATCAGCAAACCAGGTATTTTTAATATTTCAAATAATGTTTAGATTTTAATTTTAAGTAGCTTAAAATAAATTTTTTTTATAGATTCATGCTGGGTTTGGTGTCTGGGTGGACCGAGATAAATATGATACGATTAGATATTCACATAAGATAAACACCCAAAAGTTTATAAAACGAATGGCATCTGAGATTTTTGGTGATGATGTACTTAAAGCTTCTACAGTGAAAGGGCAAACAGACAAACCTGCTCTTCATGTTATCGGTATTGAAGCTTTAAAAGGTAATTTTACTTCAGTTAAATTAATTTTAAAAAATTCGCGTTTCTCTTTTTAATACCAAATATTTTAAAAACAATTTTTTATTTAAAAATAAGACCACTTCTAAAAATAAATATTCTTAAAAAGTTTTAATAATTATAATAATTTTAATAATATTTAATTGATTAATTTTTTTAATTAAAATTAGTTAAAATTTTTTTATAAATAATTTGTTACTTTCTCAGCTATTAGTAAATATTGGATGAAGGAAGTCAGAAATATGAGTGACTCAGATATTGTAAAGGAGCTCTTGAGTGTTACGAATTACCTCAACCACAAAATCAACGATCTTAATCGTACTAATCGTACACCGAAAAAAGCGAAAGGTGTTAAAAGAAAACAAACAGATCAAAACTCTAAGACTGAAATCAAGAAACAAAAGAAGAATTCTTCTAAAAACGTGACAAAAGATGGGTCGAAATTAAAAAACCCGAACAGTACTGTTGAAAAATCGAAAAGCGATAATAAAGAATCAGAAGTTAATGAAGATGAGATTCAGGAACGCAGTTCCGAAAAGTTAGAGAAAGATGACTATTCGAGTGATTCGGATAGTAAAAAATTATCGGATGCTGAAAGTGACGAGGATAAAGAGGTTGATATTGAAAGCTTAGAGGAAAAAGTTGATTCTCCAGAGCCAAAAGAGCTGTCGGATAGTGATGAAAACTAACGTAACTTTGCCAAATCATTACATTAGTTGTTTCGATGATAAGTATTATTGTTTCAGTATTTTATTTTTCAATTTAAACAACATACATGTATTGGTAAATATTTATATTTGATTTTTGTTTCTTAATATATAATATGTTTATTGTCTACGATATATATTGACAAATGATATTTTATGTTTAACATTTGATATTTTATCAATATTAAGTTAAATAGGTTCATTTAGTACACTGTAAATATATCGTTATTTTAGATTGATACTTGCGTACGAAATCGTAAGTATTTCATTTAACTAATAGTTTCAATATAATTTTAATACTTTCAACAATATCAGTATTAAGAAACGGTATTCTTACTTTAATATGTTTTTATAATAATGCGATTTTTCCATACCTTATTAGACCTTATAATTTACTTTTTTCTTGTCATCATTAAAATAAATAAAATTGTATTAATCTTCTAAATACATTTTCTTTTGTTTATAAAATAATTGAGGACTAATTTCTAATTCACTAATTTGCAAAGATTAAACTAGTTGTGAATTATTAAGGATTAATTCTCGTTTGATTTCGCCTAATAATCAGAATTAATTTCGGACAGTTGTGGACCATTCCACAAATTTTCGAATTTAATTTTGCAATTTTATATTATATAATATTAATAATATATTCAAACTATTTCTGGATTAACTTACAGTAAATCAAACCGAATTATTATTATCATATTGATTTCAGTTGTAACCAAACTTATTCCAAGTAACATCAATTTGATTATAAATGAAATTATTTTGCATTAATTCTGGATTGAACAATAAAAGATCCGATTATTTCCGTACTTAACCGGACTATTTCCAAAATGGGCCAAACTGATTACAGATTCACTACAAATAATTTAACCATTTTGACTTCAGTTTTAACCGGATTTATTCCAGATGACCTCAACTATTACCACAAAGCGGTTTATTTCGGAATAATTTCAGATATAATAGTAAAAAAACAGATTATTTCCGGATTTGATCGGAGTAATCCCTTATTTAATAAATGTACAGAATCGGAAAAATTCCGGATTGGGACAAACTGATTCCGGAAACACTACTTATAATTAAACCACATTGATTTCAGTTTTAACCGGACTTATTGCGTATGACGAAGACCTAACCATTAATCGGATCATTTCGGAATTGTTTCGGATTTACTATAAAGAAATAACTGATTAGTTCCGGATTCGACCGGACCGATTCGTGATTTAATTATGGCGTGTAATCGGATTATCTTCGGATTCGAGCAAAGTAATTCCCGATTTACTACTTATAATTAAATCAAATTAATTTCAGTTTTAACCGGAGTTATTTCGGATCACAAAAACGTGACCATAATTCGGATTATTTCGGATTTTTTCCGGATTTACTAGAATCAAATAACTGATTAGTTCCGGATTCGACCGGACCGATTCGTGATTTAATTATGGCATACAATCGGACTAATTCCGGATTGGGTCAAACTGATTCCGGAAACACTACTTATAATTAAACCACATTGATTTCAGTTTTAACCGGACTTATTGCGTATGACGAAGACCTAACCATTAATTGGATCATTTCGGAATTGTTTCGGATTTACTATAAAGAAATAAGTGATTAGTTCCGGATTCGACCGGACCGATTCGTGATTTAATTATGGCGTGTAATCGGATTATCTTCGGATTCGAGCAAAGTAATTCCCGATTCACTACTTATAATTAAATCAAATTAATTTCAGTTTTAACCGGAGTTATTTCGGATCACAAAAACGTGACCATAATTCGGATTATTTCGGATTTTTTCCGGATTTACTAGAATCAAATAACTGATTAGTTCCGGATTCGACCGGACCGATTCGTGATTTAATTATGGCATACAATCGGACTAATTCCGGATTGGGTCAAACTGATTCCGGAAACACTACTTATAATTAAACCACATTGATTTCAGTTTTAACCGGACTTATTGCGTATGACGAAGACCTAACCATTAATTGGATCATTTCGGAATTGTTTCGGATTTACTATAAAGAAATAAGTGATTAGTTCCGGATTCGACCGGACCGATTCGTGATTTAATTATGGCGTGTAATCGGATTATCTTCGGATTCGAGCAAAGTGATTGCCGATTCACTACTTATAATTAAATCAAATTGATTTCAGTTTTAACCGGAGTTATTTCGGATGACAAAAACGTGACCATAATTCGGATTATTTCGGATTTTTTCCGGATTTACTAGAATCAAATAACTGATTAGTTTCGGATTCGACCGGACCGATTCGTGATTTAATTATGGCATACAATCGGACTAATTCCGGATTGGGTCAAACTGATTCCGGAAAAACTACTTATAATTAAACCACATTGATTTCAGTTTTAACCGGACTTATTGCGTATGACGAAGACCTAACCATTAATCGAATCATTTCGGAATTGTTTCGGATTTACTATAAAGAAATAACTGATTAGTTCCGGATTCGACCGGACCGATTCGTGATTTAATTATGGCGTGTAATCGGATTATCTTCGGATTCGAGCAAAGTGATTCCCGATTCACTGCTTATAATTAAATCATATTGATTTCAGTTTTAACCGGAGTTATTTCGGATGACAAAAATGTGACCATAATTCGGATTATTTCGGATTTTTTCCGGATTTACTAGAAAGAAATAACTGATTAGTTCCGGATTCGACCGGACTGATTTGTGTTTTAATTATGGCATACAATCGGATTATCTTCGGATTAGGGCAAAGTGATTCCCGATTCACTGCTTATAATTAAATCATATTGATTTCAGTTTTAACCGGAGTTATTTCGGATGACAAAAACTTGACCATAATTCGGATTATTTCGGATTTTTTCCGGATTTACTAGAATCAAATAACTGATTAGTTTCGGATTCTACCGGACCGATTCGTGATTTATTTATGGCGTGTAATAGGATTATCTTCGGATTCGAGCAAAGTGATTCCCGATTCACTACTTATAATCAAATCAAATTAATTTCAGTTTTAACCGGAGTTATTTCGGATGACAAAAATGTGACCATAATTCGGATTATTTCGGATTTTTTCCGGATTTACTAGAAAGAAATAACTGATTAGTTCCGGATTCGACCGGACTGATTTGTGTTTTAATTATGGCATACAATCGGATTATCTTCGGATTCGGGCAAAGTGATTCCCGATTCACTGCTTATAATTAAATCATATTGATTTCAGTTTTAACCGGAGTTATTTCGGATGACAAAAACGTGACCATAATTCGGATTATTTCGGATTTTTTCCGGATTTACTAGAATCAAATAACTGATTAGTTTCGGATTCGACCGGACCGATTCGTGATTTAATTATGGCATACAATCGGACTAATTCCGGATTGGGTCAAACTGATTCCGGAAAAACTACTTATAATTAAACCACATTGATTTCAGTTTTAACCGGACTTATTGCGTATGACGAAGACCTAACCATTAATCGAATCATTTCGGAATTGTTTCGGATTTACTATAAAGAAATAACTGATTAGTTCCGGATTCGACCGGACCGATTCGTGATTTAATTATGGCGTGTAATCGGATTATCTTCGGATTCGAGCAAAGTGATTCCCGATTCACTGCTTATAATTAAATCATATTGATTTCAGTTTTAACCGGAGTTATTTCGGATGACAAAAATGTGACCATAATTCGGATTATTTCGGATTTTTTCCGGATTTACTAGAAAGAAATAACTGATTAGTTCCGGATTCGACCGGACTGATTTGTGTTTTAATTATGGCATACAATCGGATTATCTTCGGATTAGGGCAAAGTGATTCCCGATTCACTGCTTATAATTAAATCATATTGATTTCAGTTTTAACCGGAGTTATTTCGGATGACAAAAACTTGACCATAATTCGGATTATTTCGGATTTTTTCCGGATTTACTAGAATCAAATAACTGATTAGTTTCGGATTCTACCGGACCGATTCGTGATTTATTTATGGCGTGTAATAGGATTATCTTCGGATTCGAGCAAAGTGATTCCCGATTCACTACTTATAATCAAATCAAATTAATTTCAGTTTTAACCGGAGTTATTTCGGATGACAAAAATGTGACCATAATTCGGATTATTTCGGATTTTTTCCGGATTTACTAGAAAGAAATAACTGATTAGTTCCGGATTCGACCGGACTGATTTGTGTTTTAATTATGGCATACAATCGGATTATCTTCGGATTCGGGCAAAGTGATTCCCGATTCACTGCTTATAATTAAATCATATTGATTTCAGTTTTAACCGGAGTTATTTCGGATGACAAAAACTTGACCATAATTCGGATTATTTCGGATTTTTTCCGGATTTACTAGAATCAAATAACTGATTAGTTTCGGATTCTACCGGACCGATTCGTGATTTATTTATGGCGTGTAATAGGATTATCTTCGGATTCGAGCAAAGTGATTCCCGATTCACTACTTATAATCAAATCAAATTAATTTCAGTTTTAACCGGAGTTATTTCGGATGACAAAAACGTGACCATAATTCGGATTATTTCGGATTTTTTCCGGATTTACTATAAAGAAATAACTGATTAGTTCCGGATTCGACCGGACCGATTCGTGATTTAATTATGGCGTGTAATCGGATTATCTTCGGATTCGAGCAAAGTGATTCCCGATTCACTGCTTATAATTAAATCATATTGATTTCAGTTTTAACCGGACTTATTGCGTATGACGAAGACCTAACCATTAATCGAATCATTTCGGAATTGTTTCGGATTTACTATAAAGAAATAACTGATTAGTTCCGGATTCGACCGGACCGATTCGTGATTTAATTATGGCGTGTAATCGGATTATCTTCGGATTCGAGCAAAGTGATTCCCGATTCACTGCTTATAATTAAATCATATTGATTTCAGTTTTAACCGGAGTTATTTCGGATGACAAAAATGTGACCATAATTCGGATTATTTCGGATTTTTT